TGACAGAGTGATCTTCGGTTCGCCCGATGACGACCCACCCTATCTAAGTGCAGAACAACAGAACGTAGAACTTGTTTAATCTAACATGATTCTCATTCATAAAGGGTAAATGTGTAATAACATGCAAAGCCAAGCTTTCAGTATATAACACTAACAGAAACACCCGGTTTTTTCATGCTTATACTGCACAAAGGAGGAAGACCAATTTGATCCAGAGACTTGTCACTGATACAGGGGTTGTGTGTGAGTCCCAGGAGACTATTGTAAATCACATGGTGGACTTCTATTCTTATCTATTTACATCTGAAGAATCTGCAGGAGGTGAGGAATTATTACAGCACATCTCTCACTCAATAACCGATGACTGCAACAACAGACTTATTCAGCCAATTCATGAGCTAGAGATTAAAGCTGCAATTTTCAAGATGGAGTCTGATAAAACACCAGGGGATGATGGTATGACTGCCTCATTTTTTAAACACTTTTGGGATATTATCAAAGTGGATGTGTGTAATGCTGTTAAAAGTTTTTTCAGTTCTGGTTCCTTACTCAAAAACTGGAAGCACACAGTGATAACTCTTATTCCAAAATGCTTGTATCCAGAATCCTTAAGTAATTTCAGGCCTATATCTCTGTGTGGTGTTCTGTATAAGATTATTGCCAAAATTCTTGCTGAGAGATTGAAGATGTGCCTTAATTTTTGTATCAGCCCTGCTCAAACTGCATTTGTCCCTGGGAGAAATCTGTTAGATAATGTTGTGATAGCCCATGAGGTTTTCCATTTTTGCATAGACATAGGACTGGGTCTCAAGCTTTCATGGCTGTTAAATTAGTCATGGAGAAGGCTTATGATAGGGTGGAATGGGCCAGTATCAAGAAAATTATGAAGAAAATGGGTTTCCATGGTATTTTCATTAAATGGATTATCAGTTGCATCTCTTTTCCTACATACTCTTTTAATCTGAATGGGATGAATTGTGGATTTGTGAGAGCTACTAGGGAAATCAGGCAGGGGATCCACTTTCTCCTTACTTATTCATCTTGGTTTCAGAGGCTTTTTCTTCTGTATTAAATTATGTTACCAGTGTTGGCCAGTTCAGGGGTATCAAGCTTTCAAGGGGTGGACCTATGCTCTCACATTTACTATTTGCAGATGATGCTTTGATCTTCTGTAAGGCAGATGAGTCTCATGCTTTGTTGCTTTTGAATATTCTTCATACATACCAATGCTTCACAGGGCAGAAGGTCAACTTGCATAAATCATCTATGTTCCTGAGCAAGAATTGTGATTCTGATATGGTGAGGAGAATCTGCTCTGTCCTAAGGGGTGTGGTGGTGAAACGATCCTCAAGATACCTTGGTCTTCCTTTAGGTATTGGAGCATCTAAGAAGGAAGCTTTTCAGTTTGTGGAGGATTCAGTTAGAGTGAGAATTGAAAGTTGGAAGAACAGTCTTTTGTCCACGGCTGGTAAGGAGATTTTGATCAAATCAGTCCTGCAGGCCCTACCTATTTTTGTTATGTCATGCTTTATGCTGCCTGTGGGATTGTGTAAGAACATTTGCAGATTATTTGCTAAATTTTGGTGGAGCAAAGGTGGAACCCAAACTGATGGTTTACATTGGAAATCCTAGGATAAAATGGCTACTTCAAAGCTTGAGGGAGGGTTGGGTTTTCTGGATATCAGTCTCTTGAACAAGGCTCTCATTCTGAAACAATTGTGGAGAATTTTGGACCAGCCTGATCTGCTAGTCAGCCAAGTTCTGAGAGGTAAATACTTTTCTACCTGTTCTATATTTGACTGGACTCAATCAAGTAGTGATTCATGGCTGTGGAAATCCTGGGCTTCTTTACTGCCTGTTCTTAAATCTCAGTTGAATATCATCATCAAAAATGGGGCTCATACTAAGTTGAATGACCACAGCTGGGTTCCTGGTCTGGGAGGTAGAAAACCTGAGCTCAGAATTCATATTGATAACCATCTGTTCTTGGTTAAGGACTTATTAATTGCAGGAGGGTGTAATTGGGACTCTAATCTGGTCAAAGCATTGTTTGTTGCTGAGGATGCTGAAAAAATTCTGCAAATCAAGAACCTGAATCCAAGGAAAGCTGACATGTGGAATTGCTCTTTTGTGGTTACTAATAAATTTTCAGTCAAGAAAGCTTACTCATATTTGGTTGCTGGGAACTCAAATGCAAGTGTTGTGGCTGAAAGTAGTATGTTGGCTGAGGGGAACAGGAAAGCTAGAGCAAGATGTTGGAATCTCAAAGTGATGAACAAGGTGAAACACTTCATTTGGAAGTGTTTTACCAACATTTTACCTGTCTGCACAAACCTGATTTCAAGAGGACTGCTCATTGATCCTTTTTGCAGAGTCTGTGGGGAAGCTGTGGAGTCTCAAGAGCATGCCTTATTCCAGTGTCATAGAGCAGTGAAAGTGTGGCAGATCTCTCCTGTGCAGTGGAATAGAGTTCACCAAGAACAACTTACCTTTAAACAGTGGTGGTGGTGGATTTGTACCATGGATTTCAAAGACACATCTGAAGAGAGAATTCAACTATCCACGTACATACTATGGTGGCTCTGGAAAGAAAGGAACATTTGGGTGTTTGAAGGCCATATGCAACCAGAGAGATGGATTATAAAGGCTGCCTTGCGAGACTGGAATGATTTTGCTTGTACCAACTCAGGAGCATGAAGGGAAGAAGCTGAACTGGAGCTAGGCTGTTTAGCAGTGGTTCCAGGTTTAGTTCTTGGTTTGTGTTTTTCATTTGCTGTAGTTGGAATTGTAGGGGTCCTTTGTTCTGTTTGTTCTCTCGGTCTGTACCTCTGATGTTGATTTTGTACTGTGTTTATGGAACTCGCAATGTATTCGGCTAGGCTGCAAAGTTCTTGCATGGCCTCTCGTTTACCCAGGCTGTATTTGAATATTTGTAACATTACCATTTTATGGTTTAATAGAGAAATTTATGTCGTTGGAAAAAAAAAAAAGAAACAGTTATCATATTTGATAGGATACTTACGGTTAAACTCTTAAATTTTATTGAAAAAGTCATAAAAGTATTTAAGAATCTTGAATAATATCAATAAAATTATAATCGTTTATAGAGCGTTCAACTTGAAAATTAATTGCTCAAATAAAATAATAATAATAATAATTAAAATTTCATGAACATTTTTATTAATAATTGAATGAAAAATTTAATTATTTTAAGTCTTATAATTAAAAAATTACGCAACTTGATATTAATCACGTAATGGTCACGTAAAGATTCGTTAACTCTATTAGCTTTGCGACCAAAATTTGAAAATACAAACCACTAAACAATGACGATTTTTGTGGGATCAAAATTCAATCCAATAAAACTAAGGTGCAATCTAATTCTAGTTCTAAATACAAGAGTTTATCTTTCTTAAATAATGATCTAGTTAAATGAATTCTTTGATTTTTCTAGTTTGTTAGATTATGTATATATTCCACGTGTGCATGATTTCAGTAATATTTGAGGTATCTTCTCTTGATTAAAGTTATGTATGTATCTTGTAAATTATTTATTATATAAAATTTACCCCTCAATTAAGTTATCATATTTTACCAAGATTTATCATTTTGTTAAAAGATAGGTAAACAAATAGTTGAGAATATTTAGATCTTTTATAAGTATTTATTCTGTTGTTTTTGTTGCATAATTTTTAGTTTAAATAAATTTTATATATTAAAATCATTAAATATGATTACAATTTTATCATCAAAATTATATTAAAAATAAGGACGTTATTCAAAACAAAAATTCAATATCATTTCAAAACTTTGTTGTTTGGGTTAATGTTGAGTTGATTTTTTAGAGATATGGAAGAAAACGGTTTGAGAGATATGTGAAAGAAATCAAATTCTTGAAGAATAATAGTGTGAATATTGTGGTTGATTTTTAAGAGATGTGGAATGTTTTATTCATTTAATTGTATTAAATGAATAAAATATCAAATGAGTATTAGTGCATTACTAATTTGAGATTAAAAATATGTCAAATAAAAGGGTTTTTAGGTAAATATTAGTTATTAATAAAAAAGTATAAGATAGGTTATATATTATGTTATTACTAATTTGCCATTAAAAATATACCAAAGTAAGAGTATATTAGTGACTTCTTTCTTTAACAAAAATACTCATCCTTTTATAGTAGTATTCTGAGTTACCATTTTAGTTAGCACAACATTTAGACATAGAATATAATAAAACATTTGGACTAAATATTACATAAGATTATTTTGTAGATATTGTTTTCAAAAACCAATTTGTTTTGGTGGACTTCTGTGGAAGAGTTATTTTTTTTTCAACAGCTACTTAGCTAAGAGAATTATAACAATTTCTTCAAGACCACCTCAATCTCCATCATTTTTAGTAAATTTAGAATTATTTGAGTCATACTTTGGGCGTGGATCGTAATAGTTTTCAATGTTATGCTAGTTTTCAATGTTACGTTGTTATTTATTTAATTAAATATTAATGATTAACTAAAAAATATAAGATTTGAAGATTATTAGTGTATTACTAATTTGTCATTAAAATTAAGTCAAAGCAAGGGTTTTTTAGGTAGTTAATTTGTTAAATTAAAATTTAAAATAAGATGAGTATTATTGTATTATTAATTTACCATTAAAAATATCAAAGTAAGGGTTTTTTAGGCAGATCATTATTTTTACAAAATCACTCGTCCTTTTATAATAGTATAGATATAGATAGATAGATAGATAGATAGATAGATAACGGTTACATGGACAACATTCAGAATCTTAGGTATAAGTATAAATATTTTAGGCTTGTTTTGTAATTTTATAAATAAGATTATAATTGGTGTATAAGTGTGATATATATCATAACGGGATGTAAATTCTTCTAGATTTGTGGATCGGTGTCATACTATGTATTTTCGCCCTACAAGTGGACAACATAATTTTTCTATAACCGTGATTACCCCGAAGAGCCCCAAACGATGCAAAATGGCCCATAGGCGAATTGATAGTCGATATGTCGGATCCCATCCGCTCCTAAATAGAGTGCTGTATAACAGAATAGTTTAATTTTCCCCTTTCCTCCATTTCGCAGCTTTCTTTTTACGCGACCCCTTTGTTTCGCTTGCTGTCGTCGCGCTGCCTGTGGATCCGCCGCCGTTATTGGTTTCTCTCGGCCGTTGAACCTCTGCTTCTGTAAGTATAACCCTAGGCATCCATTCTGGTAACTCTTTGCCTCTTCTCGTTCGAATTTCAGGTTTTTTGTGTCGTGTCAAAGTGAATCAGCTATCTAAATGTTGCTTTCTTCTACCGCAACTGCCTTCAATGTCGAGGACCGAGATTATCATTTTCAAATGAATGTTTTTTTGTAAAGCGTGTTAAAATCATAGCATCGGGCTGTATTCTATTCAGTTCAAGCCTTTGAGATTGAGATTAATATGCGAAATTTTTGTTGTCGTGCAGATTTTCGTCAACAGGAATTCTGTACTGGTTTTGTGTTGGTGAGGAACAATGTTCGGAAGCAACCGTAAGTGCTGGTCATTAATTTAGAAGCTAACCATAGATTGATTATTATTTGTTGCTATGGTGCCATGGTTGCTCGTGCTCTATTTTTTCTGTTAATTACTCTCTTTATAATTTTATACTCCCTTTTTGCCTGTAGTCTTACTGGACTTGATTTACTGTTAATCAAGTTTGGAAAACTGTGTTATTATTGGCCTGGCAACCTTGGTATCTCGAGGTTATCTAAAAATCACTGGGGAACATGCTTAGTTCCAATTGAGATTTATGATGGGTAAAGCCATCCAAGATACATAAGAGCAATTGCCATCTCCATTTTGTAATTGTTTCACAGTTCATATAATTAGGAAAGATATTATAGAACCACTGGGACAACTTTTATGTTAAGAAGAAACTGAATCACAGATAGAAGAATACTGCTTCATTTCCACTCATTAACAAACACTTTGGCTTTTCTATTATTTTTGTCTGTCTTGTCATGGAAATTTGGGAAGTATGAAACATGATGCAGCACCATCACTATCCTGTTCCATTATATGTTTCGTGATTCCGTCTTGTTAAAGCAATTTGGGATTATAATTATGTTGCGTATGTCTGAATTCCGGGTATATTTAGTTGATGCACAACATGTTAGAAATCTATTGACCATGGAAGTTGAGTTCTAACGTTCAAAAGAAGTAGAGCTATAAATATAGTGTCTTCCAATGCAATACAATATAAACGGAAGACGTAGCAAATATTTTGACTTTCATGTGAGCAGGAGGCTGTCCTTGCACAATAAATTTAAAAGATACAAAGGCGTCAGTAATGTGATGGATGAATGATGATAAAATTCACTGCATGATTTTACATTAAAGTCGAGACGTGTTGTTTTGCTGTCTTTTCCAGTCTGACTACATTGCAAGTTATTGAATTTCTGTTGCTTCATTTTTATGCCATCTTTTCTTCTTTGAAACTTCTGACGAATGGCTGCCCACATATTTGTCATTTCCCTAGTTCAAGTACTAACAGCAAGAAAAATAACTTACTCATCTTGTTTGCTCTTCTAGTCATATTGCTGAGTCTGATATCTATTACTGTAACAAACTGATCATGCTTTCAAATGAGTGATTGTGTATTAGATGAATGTATGACTGAGTATAACTTGTTTTTCTTTTTCGACATGGTATATGTCTACTTTGACTTCCTTTGCTCATTTTACAGCTTTTGGGCAATCATCTAGTAGCCCATTTGGGTCTCAACCCATTTTTGGGCAGACGAATAATGCTAGCAGCAATCCATTTGCTCCAAAACCCTTTGGCAGTACGAGCCCTTTTGGTTCACAGACTGGGGGGTCCATCTTTGGAGGGACGTCTACTGGTGTTTTTGGAGCTCAATCTTCTTCTCCTTTAGGTTCCACTTCTGTTTTTGGTGCTTCATCCTCACCTGCTTTTGGAAGTTCAACCCCAACTTTTGGAGCTGCTTCAGGTTCTGCCTTTGGAAACTCGTCTTCAGCATTTGGTGGTAAGGGTTTCTTTGAACATAATAACCATTTGACAAAGTCCATGTTTTCACCAGCATCAACTTGAGCAGTTTTTTTTGTGTATTGATTTGATAACACTTTATTGAATTCTGCTTCCTGGATGAGATAATTTATATGTTGACTATAATCCATTTCCCATGGGAAAAAGCAAGAAATGGAGGTAATGAATTGTGTACCTCTTTTACTGGAACAGGTCCAGTTTTGGGGATTTGGGGGGTAGCACGGGGAGTCTCTCATTTTTCGACTTATTTACCATTCTCAATTAACATATTTGAAGGGGCAGGATAATGTGGACTAAAATGTATCTTGGATTGAGAATTTTGGCTCTCTTGTTCTCTTAATCTTCAAACTTTTTCTTCCCTACCTTCTTCTGCCCAAAAACAAAGCTTCCTAGACTTTGCAAGATTGGTGTGTACATTCTCATTTTTATCCACCCCATGATCATTTGTCAAAGTGCATGTCTAAATGTTCACTACATGTTGTTGCTTGCTGTTTGTTTATTTTAGGATCCTTTGTTAGTTTGAACTTCCATAAACCATGTAATTCGATCATATGATCTCTTGATGAGTATTGTATCCTGCAATACTTGATAAACTTCTCATATCCCTTTTCAACTAGTGCCCTTGTAGTTACATTATGTAGATATTGGTTTGCATAGTTTGATGCACAGTCTCGAATAAAAAATCTTTTCCT